TATTTTACAGTATATATTTATAAAATCGGCTCAAGTTGGTTAGTTGTCAATTTAACCATGCCGATGTTTACAAAGCTAACTTAATCGAGCACTATTATAAATTGTCTAAATTAAAATTAAATAAGGTATATCAGTATAATGAAAGGTACAGTGAAAGAGGTGAATATAACTTTTCATGATTCAAATTAACTTCCGGATGTCTGAATAAAGAATAGATGTTGGAAATCGAATTCTCAATTATTCCAGTAAGTTTCGTGATTATAATTTTATTAATAAAAAATGGTTTACTAAGACCAATCCAATGCCTCAAATCTATAATTACTTATTTCCCTCGCTAAACAAAGTTCTAATTGAACATACCCAGATACGAGCATACATGTAACGGTATGACGAAATATAATTGGAGCTTATAACACGTGTAAGAGAAATCGACTTGTGACATAATGATATTTGATGTATCACCTTTTTCGCGTACTAAATACACAAGTAAAACATTAATTCTCTTCTGTAAGTATTCTTTCAAAAACCTTTAGTGTGCTATGCAACTTTTCTAAATACTTTCTAAATGTTTTCTAACAATTTAAGTTACATGTAAAAAAGGCGCAGAAAATGTTTGGAAAATCCGCATAGCACACCAAAGGTTAAAGAATACTTGCGGAAAATGTTTATCGTTCTACCTGTGATACCAACCCTAATTTTGGCCAATCAGTTCTTGATGATCAGCAAAATCTTCATTCTCACTGACATCTTTTCGCACTAATATAAAGAAACCTTTATCATTATTATCGACTTTTTTTTTTACCAATGCTTAAACCGAAAACAATTTCACTTGTTCTTAAACAAGCGACCACCGGTGGCGTTAAAGCAACACTGTATGTCCTACCTTCTTGCATATGTGTTCATGTATTGTAGAATCTTTAGCTGACGAATTCTTTTAAAGTCTTTTGAATTCTGAAGGTTCTCCTTTAGCTTTTGTTTCTGATTCGGATCGTGATGCCAGAATTTATGCAGCTATAGTATCTAATATTTGGTGTACTTTTGAAAAAAGCGGAAAAAATTTAATGAAAGATGATGGTTTAAAGTTTTTGTTAATAGAGTGTGAGGTAAAAAAAAAAGAATATATATATATATATGTATATATATATATCTATATCTATATATATATATATATATACATATCGATTATTGATAATGTATTAATTACTTTGTTGATAATTAATTTTCATTCAAAAATCGTTCAAACTTTAAAGGAAGGAAATGTTGCTGTCACGACAGTTAGTAATATGCTGCTATGTCTTGTCGCAAAGCCTGATGTCGAGTTAGGAATATTAAAGGCAAAGGTTTTTATATGCATTAATTCTTGTCTATTCATTACTTCATGACTTATGAGGATTGCTTATTATAATATTATCCCAAAAAAAAAAACCGAAATAAGACAGATGCTTTAGCTAGACATCTCAAAGAACCTTTTCAG